CCATCAAGAGTGGCATTTTGATAAGTATAAAAGAAGTTACTCGCATTTTCATGACTAGGAAAATGTATGTGAGCGTAGCTATAATTAAATCAAAATCAGCATGTGAATGAATTTTTTAAAAAATCAACAAAGAACATAGAGAATATAGATTACATAGAAATGCTTACCCAACATGCATGTTTTTTTTTACATGCACAAATGGAATTTTTATGATTTTGCATAGCCATATTTCAAGATCTTCTTCATTAAGGATGTTAATATTTCTATACAGCATTACAGATAATTCAGATTTTCCACAACAGAAACGTCCTATATAATTTGAAACTAAAAAGAGAGTAAGCAGTTAGCATCTCATAAAGAGAAGATAAATAGCATTCCATCAAGAGAAGATAGCATCTCATAAAGAGAAGGTAAACAGCATCCCATCAAGGAAAGGTAGCATCTCATAAAGAGAAGGTAAACAGTATCCCATCAAGAGAAGGTAGCATCTCATAAAGAGAAGGTAAATAGCATCCTATCAAGAGAAGGTAGCACCTCATAAAGAAGAGATAGCATTTCCACTAATAAAAGAAAATGATATGCTTACCTGAATTCATTCTAAGTTAGAGAGCTATAATAATCCACTTGTCTCTTATGACCAAATTTAATTTAGTAAAAAGACTAAGAATTCGTGAACTGCTGTAGAAGAAAAAAAAGATTGAAAAAATGTTTTATATACAGCATATGATATTTAACGCGACTTTTAACGTGATTTTTAACGCGACTTTTAACATGACTTTTAACGCGATTTTTTTAGTATATAGATTTCAATGTGTAACATTACACCATGCTCTGAAGTATGATTAATACAGTATAATAATAAACAAGCTCGGATGACATGATCTATATGTATAACTAATACACTACAGTAGTGATACCTTTAGTTTCACGAATTCTTGGTCTTTTACTAAATCAGATTCAATTCGGTCATAAGATACAAGTGGATTATTATAACTCTCTAAATTAGAATGAATTCAGGTAAGCATACCATTTCCTTTTATTAGTGGAAATGCTATCTCCTCTTTACGAGATGCTACCTTCTCTTGATGGGATGCGGTTTACCTTCTCTTTATGAGATGCTACCTTCTCTTTACGAGGGGATGCATTTATCTTCTCTTTATAAGATGCCATCTCTTTACGAGGTGCCTTCCCTTGATGGGATGCTTTTATCTTCTCTTTATATGAGATGCTACCCTTCCTTGATGGAATGCTATTTATCTTCTCTTTATGAGATGCTACCTTCCCTTGATGGGATGCTATTTACCTTCTCTTTATGAGATGCTAACTGCTTACTCTCTTTTTAGTTCCAAGCTATAAAGAGTATTTCTGTTAAGCAATTTATCCCTGGTGAGTGATTATTTTTATTTTACATTCACTCTAGAATGGTCCATCATAAATATAGTAATAACTGCTTATTTTTTTTCTCCAGTCTTCAAGGAGATTAATGATGATGATAAGGCTCTCGATCACTGTATGGAGAATATAATCTTAAAATTTTTAAATGTAGAAACATGACTGATACTAACGAGGTAACGCACTATGAATTTATTTCAGCATTATTATATGCATCCATCACCATAGCTAAAAATCTCACCTCTCAACATATATTCATTATTTTGCAAAAAGATATTTCAGATGAAGATGTGACAGACCGAGTAGACTACATAATTAAAAGTCTGGAAGAGCTCCTCTGTATTACTGAAGGAAAACCTCGCAATATTAAGATTGGTAAGTCTGTTTATCTTATCAGTCTATTGGCTTCGAAATAAGAAGACTAAAAAAGTGGTATATTATATTTCTTAGAATCTAGTACAGCTTGAAAGTGCATTTCAGACAAATAAAAAGAAGGATCAAGCATTTGGAAATGACTATTTTAACTACATTTTAATATCGTGACTATGGGCACAAAGTAGTACTTTATCATATATATACTCCGGATGGTATTTACTGTACAAGTGGTAGATTTAATCTTATGAAATCTACCATCAAAGAAAATCCCAAATTACTTCATAGTAACGTGAAAAAGAGTAATAAGTATTATTATTAGGTTATTAAAAGAGGGTTAGTGTTGATAGTTCCCCAACCAGAATCAAAAAAATTATCAAAAAATAATAGCATAGATGTTATGTATCATGAACGCAGTCCCGAACATTTGTATTTATTTTTCGCATGAATTAATAAAAAATTTTTTTTGGCAAATTTTGCTTACGGGTCGTGAGGAAAAATCACATGATATTTTTATTTTAAATAGTTATATATAGGTTATATATGGTGTATTAGTTATATATATATCTGAGCTTATTTATTATTAATCATACTTCTGAGCATGGTGTAATGTTACACATTTCTGAAATCTATATACTAAAAAAGTTGCGTTAAAAGTCACGTTAAAAGTCACGTTAAAACATTTCTTCAACCTTTTTTTTCTTTTATAGCAGTGACACCTTTTAGTCTTGGTCTTTTTACTAAATCAGATTCAATTCGGTTATAAGATATAAGTGGATTATTATAACTTTCTAACTTAGAATGAATTCAGGTAAGCATACCATTTCCTTTTATTAGTGGAAATGCTATCTCCTCTTTACGAGATGCCTTGATGGGATGCTGTTTATCTTCTCTTTATGAGATGCCATCTCCTCTTTACGAGGTGTCTTCCCTTGATGGGATGCGTTTATCTTCTCTTTATGAGATGCCATCTCTTTACGAGGTGCCTTCCCTTGATGGGTTATGTTTATCTTCTCTTTATAAGATGTCATCTTCTCTTTACGAGGTGCCTTCCCTTGATGGGATGCTGTTTACCTTCTCTTTATGAGATGCTATTTACCTTCTCTTTATGAGATGCTGTTTACCTTCTCTTTATGAGATGCTACCTTCCCTTGATAGGATGCTGTTTACCTTCTCTTTATGAGATGCTAACTGCTTACTCTCTTTTTAGTTCCAAGTTATAAAGGGCATTCCTGTTGCAGAAAGCCTGAATTATCTGTGATGCTATACGGAAATATTAATATTCTTAATAAAGAAGATCTTGAAATATGGCTACGCAAAATAGTAAAAATTCCATTCGTGCATGTAAAAAAAAATTTGCATGTTGGGTAAGCATTTCTATATAATCTATAGTCTCTATATTCTCTGTTGATTTTTTAAAAATTCATTCATGCGCTGATTTTGATTTAATTATAGTTACGCTCACATACATTTTCCTAGTCATGAAAATGCGAGTAACTTCTTTTATACTTATCAAAATGCCACTCTTGATGGTCCTAAAGGAGATGAAGATATCAAAATAAGAGAGTCATATTATTTTGGTAAATTAAAAAGAAAGGTTATTTATGTAAAAGTAAGCATTAACTGTTATTTCTAATCATCTATGATTTGTCAGACAATAAAAGTAATATATGTAACTTTTAATAAATCTATTATTTAGGCGGACAAATCAATTACCACTACCAAAAAAGCTGAGAAAGAGCCGTATAATAATAATGAAGCTGAAAATCAGGAAGAGTCATATAACAATAACGAAACTATAAATCAGGAAGAGTTGCGCAATAATAATGATAAGACTGAAGATGAGCCAGATTATACAAATAACAAAAAAAGAAAACTTGGTAAGTTCAATAACTTTAATCATGTATTATATCAATTTATATTAATTTATATTCTATTATTTTTATATTAGATATCGAAATGAATGAATTCAAAGATCTCGTGATTACTGGGAAAAAAGTTATATTTTGAGAGATGAAAATGAAAAAGAAAGATATAAAATTATGGCAAATGATGAGCTCACTAAAGCGATTAATGGACTTAAAAGACAGAAACTTACTGAAATTTTATTTTTTAATCTATAAGACAGTAATTGATTCTTGGCTTAAGATTTTAGTTGTCTCTTGTTTTAAAGTTTTACTTGTTCAGTCAACTTAAATTACTCAGTTTGTACAGTCAGTGGTTATGTCACACAATAATGAGAGAGTAGCAAATGAGTTTAGATAGAAACTTGTAAAATCTTAAAGATGTATAAATATCTCTGCTCTGAGACCTGAAATAAATGTACTTGAATAGCAATAATTCAATTATCTTTTGAAAACACTTGAGTTATACTTATCTTGTAATTTTCCTTTGATTTTTGCCTTGATAATGAGGACAAATGAATTTTATATAATAATAATGATAATGATAAGTATAATTATATTGTAGAATTACAAAAAACATGTTTTCATTTTTATTGTAACTACATAATATTATAATTAAACATTTTAATTATTAATTTTACGTTTGCAATTTGGTTTGTTGTTTTTTCAATATTGTTTGATTCTATCCAGAGTCCAATCTGATAAAATTTGATTTAGTTCAACTAATATCTTTTCCATTTGATTATTAGATAATGAATCTTCAAGTATTGTGGCAAGTATTAATTTTTCTGCTTGTGTCATTTCTCTTCTGGTACGCTTTGTTGTACTATAGTAGGTGTTATTAAATTTAATTTATTTGATTTATCAAGTTTTTGTGTATTGATCATTTTGATTGTATTAATTAATAAATCGTCTTTTTTTACAGTCGTATCAGATTTTATTTTCTTGGCTTTTTGAATATTAGCATATGGATGTCGTATAATATCTCTTGCTCATCGACCTTTAATATTACGTGGTTGTGTTTTATAAACATCTTGTTCCAAAATTGAGTTAAGTCGTTGAATTCCTATATTATAAGGATGAAAAATTCTTGCAATTCCACTAGGATTCATTTTTTTCGCATCTTCAAATAATGAATATTTACAGGGATCATCAAGTAAAAATGCATCAGTAATTTGTTGCGCAAGAGATCAAAGTGCTTCTTTTCTATTATTTATTGCATGATCATTTCGATTATCAACGGGATCACTTGAAAATTCTGAAATTAACATATTTAATCGATCTCTTTCCATTTGAGCAGATTGAATTTGCAACATGAGATTTTCCTGATCAATAGGATTTCCTTCAATGGTTTGTTTTACAAATTTTACACCAAATGTTTCTAACGCTTTGTGAGTATCATGTTTTTAAACCTAATAATTCGCCAAATTCTAAGCATTCAACTGAATTCAAATTTGTCACTTTCGTTGTTTTATAATCTTGAACTTTTCCAAGCTGCATCACTATTTTATTAAGAAATAAGGTTGGTATTGAAGTATTTTTTGATATGTATGATGGTTTGTTTTTATTAAAGAGATTTAATGCAGGAATCAAAGCTAATAATAATTCTTCTTTTGCTGTTTTATCATCAGATATTGCAACAGTTGAAATCCATTGTGCAAACATTGTTAAAGCAGCTGCAGTATCATTGATATGCTCATTTTTTTCTACGCAAGTTTTTATTTTAGTTCCTGATCCCCGTGGTATATATAAATGTCCTCCATTTTTTTGAAAACATTCTGTACATATATATCGTGTCCATTCATTTGTTTGAGATTTTAAAGCAATTATTAAATTTGTATCGAATACAGGACAAATTCGTAGAGTATTACAGGGAAGTTGAATATTTCGTTCACATATTTGCCATAAATGCTCCATACAATTTTGCCCTCGGCTAAAAAATGTTTTGTTTTTATTACAAAAAAGACAACATCACTTTTTTACAAGACTTTCATTAACTGATCATTCCTGTTTTGCGTTAGAACTATGCAATTTATTTTGATCTATGATGAAGTGAGATTTGCAAACACCCAACGTATGTAATGCATTTTTAGTCTCCGTAACAGCAATTTCGTCAATTTCCCATATGCCAAATAATTGACCTAATCTTCGTAATTCTTGGATTTTATTACAATGTTTAATTTTACCATCCGTAATATCCTGATCGATGATAACACAAGCCGTTAAATTGTGAGTTTCCTTGTGAATACTTGGAATTATTAATTCTTTCTCTTTTTCGATATTTGTATTTGCTAAAGATGTCGTTTCCAAATTAAAATTATAATCAACTTCATCCCAGTTTATATCTTCTTCATCAGATATGGCAGTATTTTTTGCACTTATAAATGCTTGAAAATCATATTCGAGAATTTCATTTATTTCATTTTCATTATTTGAGGACCATTCCATATAGTCGGAATCACCAATACTTGTTGTTGACTCTTCTTGCTCTGAAGAATATGAGTGTTCGCTACTTTCAATACTAACAGAAGAAATGGTTGCCATTTTTAATGTTAAGATCCTTTTGAGAATTCTCGGAATATTGTAAAAGCGTATTAACAAAGTGATAAAACTTGTCTTTGGGAAGCAATAATATTATAAAAACACTATATTTAATTATAAATGTCACGTAGTTGCAATAGAAGCGAAGATAATTTTTCTTGTGATTTTTTATAATACGTA